GCGCTAAAGTTATGATTTTTTCCCGTGAAAGTAATTTATCTTCTGAGAACGCCATGATACTCTTGTGTTTGATGCTCGTTTAAGGTTAATTGCGAAGAGATGACTCCTCTTCAAAGAAGCGCGGTAGAATTTTAAAAATTAAACTTGCTTTAATTTTTAAAACTCTATTGACAATGATATGGTTCCATGTCATTTAAAAATTTCGATTATTTTTCACTATTTCTGTCGTTTCTAATACACTTTCTTATAACAGCATTACTACAATTAATTAATTATGAAATAAATTGCAAACTTACTTAAGAATTTCATGAAAACATTCCTCACCGACAATAATATCACTATCTGTACTAAGATTACTAACAATAAGCATATTTTTATTATCTTAATACACTTTTTAATATCATTAGTTTTTAATATATATATTTTAGTACGTTTCAATCTTTAATTATACATTTTAATACGTATCTCAATCACAGCGTTAACACACGAACAATTAATTGTAAAATTCGCAAACTAATTCATTCACGAACATTTTCTTGAGCGTTTTCGTAAAATTCAAAGAACGGAGATCTACGAATTTCTCAAAAATGTCTCTACTTGCTATCTTTACCAAAGAACGATCGAAATTCCGAAATCTTCGTAAAGCAAAATCTCACAAAAATCAAGCCATCGAACAAGACATCACTTTACAGACGTTGCCGAGAGATTTCCACGTATATCTAGTTCATCCAGAGGCGAAAGATTTAAAGAAACGCGTAAACAGTTTGCCGCGGAGAATGCAGCGCTAAAAAAAAAAAAAAAAAAAAAAAAATACAGGAAGAAAAAAAGACGAAGACAGGAATGAACTTAATATCTCATTTTTATCGCGCGGTTTCTCGCTACGAGTTAAGCAACTTTTATCCGAAACTTTTATCTGCAAGAAGTCAGGAAGTTATTTGGGCGGCCTGCTTTAAGTGGCCACGACCCTGTGTACTCGAAACTTTTCCAGCTACAGAAACTCAAACGTTCTGAACACTGAATGGAGACAGTAATCTGCTCTTACGGCGGATGATACAGACCGGTTTCTGCTCTGACGTACAATATTTCCCAAAATATCAGAGAATTTATTATCTAGGTACGCGAATTCATACTGAGATACGAATGCGAAGTATTATCACGGTCCTTTATTTTCATTTTCTTTTGGATTTATACGATAGTATAAATCGTTGCACGATTATGTAATTTTTTTTATTTTGTTAACAACACACTTTCGCATACGCGACAGATCACCATTTCCCTTGTATCGATTTGCTTTTCGATTCACGTGATCGTGAATTTCTTAGATAATATGTTGCACTCTAGTACTTTGCTATTCCTATACAAGATTTTCAAATCCTAATTTGTGGAAGCTTCGAATGATCAAGGAGACAGAGAATGAAAAATTGGGAATTTCTTGCGTTTGGTCTGATCTTTCCAGAGGAGTAATTAAATTACTCAATTCTAATCGACTAATCCGTTCATGAAATGAATGACTGAATTTTGCCAGCGAATTTTAAATAAAATTTGACGAAAGAAAGAGATGTTAATCTTCTTGAACAACTCGTAGAAATAGCTATTAATTCTTCTTCTAAAATTAAGGAAGAATGAAAACGGAAATCTAAAGAGTTGCAGCTCATTTATACAAAAAGAGAAAACCGTTGCAAATATCCTGCAAATATTTAATTACCACTCTACTGAATCTATTTAATTCAACACCCGAATGACTGATTTTCCAATTACATTAAAATTAAAAATGGAAAAATCTCATGATCAATTATTCATTTCCTCGATTGATTCGACATTCTACGCTCAAATTCCATTAAATATTCGACAAATTAGTAAAAGATAATTCCGGTAGCTTACACACACATATATAAGGAATGAGGATTCCAAATCTAAGATATTTCAAACCTAATTTTCTTCTTATTAGGAAATCTCATTCATGCGATTAGTCGATATTTGAATTGAAAAAAAAAACCAATAATTACGTCTAGACAGTAGATATCTGCACAATTGTATATTTCTAGAATATACGAATATAATTAGAAAATTCTGACCTAACCTAACCTAAACTCGTCTCGTCTACGAAATATTACTTCTTGACTGCTCCATTTTATTACTTCTTCGCGTTACATCAATATCGTAAACTGTTCGAGCCTTGAATTTTCTAAAAATATACAGCGAACAAGAGCGATGAAATTGTGTTGCGATAAACATCGCAACGACGAAAAGGAAACAATCTTGAAAATAATTAAAAAATAATTTCGTCTACTACGTTATGCACCCCGAGAGATGAAAGAGACAAGTTGAAGCGTATCCCCTTGACGATCTCATCCCCTCCAGGATAGAGTACGGTCAAATCGTGGTCATTTCGAGCGTGTTTACGATACGTCGGCCGTGGGATATATATTTGATAGAGGGTGGCCGGCAGTGGGTGGCTCGTTCGGAGCATACAGTTTCGTTACATCGATACCCGATATTTACTGGCTGCATCGCAAATTTAACAGCCGATTTCACCGTGCAACTTCAACGGAATCGACTCGCGCATTAAGGGCGCGGTTGCGATGCGACCGCTCCCGCGTTTCGCAGAACGTACCTACAAAGTGGCGGATTATCGAAAATATTCACCGACCGCTTTTTTACTTTAGCCGAATTTCTGCTTTAGAAACTTTGCTACAGAATATTCTCCTCTCTGAATTTTTACCCCCCCCCCCTCTCTCTCTCTCTCTGCCTTGCACGTCGATCAGATTTCTTTGATTGAAATTCTGATCAGAGGGTTGATAGTTTGATAGTTAGATAACGCAACGTTCAATGAAATAAATATTTCGTCAAATGACTTTGAACTCTAAATAATTTTTATTCTTTTTTGCTGTTCAGCGCTTCTAATGTTGACACAATCGCGTTGAAGAATTTTTTCAGATGTTTTTCGACACAGACGTTTTCCTAGAAGCCGTACTTTTGTTATCTAGCAACAGAATTTCTAGGAAAGCTCGAGCAGAATAATAATTTCGAAAAGTCGAAGAAATTTTAATCTGTTGTTTATGTCTTCAGCCTTGAGGCTGTTTTTCGGCAACATAAAGTTCGGGAATAACATTGACACAATTTTTGCGTGGTTAGAGTTAAATACATAAAAACTGTATTTCGTTGAAAACATAGTACACAAATCTCGAGTACAATAACAAATCCGAGAAGTAGAAGAAATTTTAATCTGTTGTTTATGTCTCATGCTTCGAGGCAGTTTTCCTCAACATAAAATTCGAGATTTCTGCATAGAATTAACTATGAAAGCCTACGTACATACATATGTACGTACATCTGTGAATTTTAAATATTTAAGGGAAACTTTTATGACTGGAATATTTAAAGAAAAGCAGTACATAGTAATTTATTTCAAATCCTTAAAAATTCTTATGGAACTTATTTCAAATATTTAAACAAGGATTTTATATTTTATAAGTATTAATTTATTTATTAAATAAACAGATGTGCGTTCTGACAAAATGATGACACGTATGTATGTGTGCGAAACATCTTTCGATAAATAAATCGAAATGAAAAATCACGAAATCTACTGGACAATTGTTGAAATATATAAAACACGTTTTTCTCATTATTTTAATTAACGAAATAAGTTTTATTCATTTTACCGTAGATTATACTGTACAGATATTTGTGAGATGGTGTTTTCGTTTCATTTGTAAATTCTTTCAAATGTAACTTCATCTTGTCAATATTCTTAATTTTAAAGAATTAATTAAGACCTATGTGAAACATTTAAAGCGCTTACTTTTCCCTTTCAAATATTTGAAATTCAGCAGATGTACATAGACTTTTCCGACTCTCCGTATATTCTCACCAAAATTTTCACCAGGTTTCCTCGACGTCACGTATATCTTAATAAGCTATCTCTCGGACAACATGCCAAATAAAATCGACTGAATCGTACCGTATAATCTGACTGAAATTTTCACGAAATCCACTTCACCAGTATGAATATTTTAGTAAGTTGAAATTTTACAACAGAAATGACAAATTCTATGTATATATATACCAAGTGACACGAATATTCAGGCACCGCGAAATAATAAATCGTTGTTATCTATATTTGCATGAATCTTTGCTATTTTATCACATCGTTGAGCGACAATTTTCGAACATTTGATTCGTGATCGGTCGACAATGTTTTAAAGTATTAAACAGTTGACTATTTCTTAAATTACGAGAAGTATTTGTACACTATTTGCATATTACTTAATTTTAATCAAATACATTAAATTTCATATCTTTATACAGTCAGTTTAAAAATCACATTAAAATTTTAAAAGGTAGAAAGTAAATAATACTTTCGATAATATTTGGGAACATAAAATTTATTACTAACGGAGGGAGAAATTACATTCATTTGTTAACAATGAAATTAAAAAGGAGCGAGAACGTAACAAAAATAAGATCAAAAAAATTATATTAATATTTTTATTATGTTAGACTTTTTGAATTGACTGTATATAATGGATAATACTAACATATGACCAGACTGTAGATTTTTATACATTTATGAGACGCACACAATATATAAAAATATACAAAATAATTAAAGTAGAATGCTTGTTGAAATAATATCTAACTGCAGAAACAAATTTCCATTTCTTCAACAAAATTGCATGAAAAGTTCACAGTGATCGTGCAAATGAAACGTAGACATTGCTTTTAAAGAAAGCCGTCGCTAAGAATGAAATAGTGCAAATACATTTTCTACAGTTACTGTATTTCAAAATATTATAATAGAAGCACGTGTTTCATAATTAAATAGAAACACGTAGTTTATCATTAAACAATACTCAAATCGTAGAAATATTCAAAACGTCAGAATATCGAGGCGAGTCGTTTCCCTTAAAACTCGTTCGCCAGTAGACAATCTTAATAAGCCGATTCCTGTGAGAAATCAACGTGTATATCGACCATTGATGGATAAATCGCCTTACCTTCTCCCAGCGAAATTCACACTGGCGTTTCCCAACTCGACGAGGCCCAAGGGTTTCCTAAAACACTCGTTCAGTCCAAACAGTGGATGATAAATCAGACTGTCTTCCACTGTTGAAACTACCACCCCCTCTCTATCAGCCTCTCGAACCCACGCACCAAACGCACACACTTTCCTCCGATATTCGAAAGCTTGGAAAAAAGCCACGGACAACTGTTTCGTCAATCCACCATCAACTGTTCTATAAATCGATCCAAAGTCACTGTCAGCTCACATGCGGCACAATAATAAAACAAACTCCGAAGTCACTGGATACCGTCAATGTTATCATCAATCGATTTAATCGACGAGATTAAAAAAAATTGTACACCGAGATTAAAAAAAAAAAAAAAGGGGGAAGGAAGAAAGGACTGAGCAACAGAAAAATTTAATTGACGAGTGAAATGGCGCGCACACGCGTGTCGGCTCGTGTACGTGTTGGAGAAGCTGCGCTTCGGGACGCGTTAACGAGCGGAACGAGCGACGATGCTTTCGAAGCGAAGGGCAAAGCACGACTGACTCGTTCCGAACAAAGTACAAAGTCGTCCCCGAGGTCAGGTATAACGAAAAAGCCCGCCCCACTCCATTGCCCCTTCCATCGCAGCATCCCCCCTTGCGTAAATAGAGGGATGCTAGCGCGGAGGGAAAAGATCCCGGTGCGATCAAATGATATCCACTTAGGTCGATGACATCCATCGTGGATTGTTCAACTCTCTCCTCTCTCTCTTTCTCTCTTTCTGTCTCTAGTTTTCTCTCGTCTTCTCTTTGCAAGTTGGACAATTAACTCGCTTCTTCGAACAGTTCCAGAAGCCTCTGCACGCTTGGCTGGAAGCGGAGCTTCAAATTATCGTTCCGGGGTGCGATTCGGGGGGAAGGCTTCCGCGCGTTCGAGATGCGTTTAACTGGCGATTCCGGTGTTTGAGGGTGGATAATTAGCGTGCAAGTGGTTTTTCGTTCGTAGGATAAAGCGGGGTTAAAGTTCGGATTTGTGGTTAAAGGGGAGGGGGTGAGATATTTGGTGTCTTTATTCACGATATTTTTATTATTTTCTCGAGAGGATCGAAGAAGAGGCGTTCAGTATCGGGGGACGTTTCGTTTGAGGTTGATATTCAAAGAAAATTGTTTCGAAAGCACTTCGAAAGTGCTTGCGGTCTCTTTATCTGTAATTGTTCTTTGAAGGAGCAAAAATAGATAGACAGTGTCGGATTTTTTTAATCTAAAATTCTCGATCTTCGAGAAAAGATTATCGAGGTATGGAACAAATATTTGGTACAAACGAATAGATAATGAAAAATTTCCAATTCCTAGTTGCATCTTTAGAATTTTGAAAGAAAATTGTAAATTAAAGGATATAGAAAGTAAGTGTTGAATAATGGATTTCTTGTTTGAAAATCACTGTCAAAAAACAGGAATTAATGTCAACTTTTACTTGAAGTTATGGATCTTTTCTTTGAAGAAAATCTTGGACGTCAGATCTGTGAATTCAATATTCCGAAGACTGTTAGACAATCACTTTAAAGATCATTGGACCTCACAAATGAAACTCGTAAGTGAAAAATGAGTCGCGATAGTAAAGATAATAGGATACATTCTGGTAAAATGACATTCGTCTGCGGATACTTCGTATTGACCCCCCCCCCCCCCCCTAGTGGAATAACATCGATTGTTATAAATGTTTGCTTGAAAATATTGCCCATCGACCATAAATATTTAACGAGACTCGGAAATTCGCGCTCGTTGAGGCGTTACATTTTTTTCTCCTCCTTGGTGAAAAAATTATTTTAATTGCGATTATTAAATCAGATTCTCCCGCTCGTGAAACGACAGTTTCTCTCTGAGCAACGGTTGCGCGCCGCGGTTAGTAATTAAAAAAGTTAACGCTTTCACTGTCCTTTGTGTTCATCCGTGAGCCGACGTTCCTCTGGCCGAAATGAAAAATTTATTAAACAATCCTGAAAGGACGCCGGCCTTTTAGTTTAACGTGTAACGCGATTGTTCCCGGCATACTGCTAATAAATTAACGTAAGGCGCAACGTGCTACAACTCTAATTCAGAAATCCTCGTATTTATTTTTCTACGAGCACGCGAGCACGTCCGAGGGGAGAAAAAAAAGGTATATAAAACGCGTGAATTTTCAACGGGACGGTAGTTTAAAGCGAGGAGATAATTAATTCACGTTAAACCTGAAAAACACTAGATAAATAAAATTAATTAATGCAGTAGGTTAGATTCTCCAGTTCCTTTTTTTTTTTTTTTTTTTTTTTTGGAGTTTCGTATAGCACGTTGAAGCAATTCTGGAATTTTGGAACTTTGTATTTATTTTTCGACGAAAAAGAAAATTTCCCACCAAGAAAAGAATCACCAAAGTAAGAATAATACTAATTTGTATTTTTGTTTTCATAGAGTTGAATTTAATGATTTTAATGGAATATTTTTGTCAAACACTTGTGAAAGAATAAAAAATTTAGTTCTAAAACCAAGAAAATAATTTCCATATCAACACGACATTTTGACCATTTTAATAACGCACTAAAGAAATTTGTAGTATAATTGTTGATCAACTAGATGTTTAATCTCTGATATTGACGAAAATACTTCACGAATTACCCCTAAAAGGATTTACCCATAAAATCATGTAATTGGAGTATCTAAATCGTCCATAACGTGAAATTAAATTTAATTGGATTGATCGTATCCCTTCGTATTAAATCTAATTCATATTAAATTAAATTCACATTAAATCTTCGCATTAAACAGACATAACAACGTTGTATATTGCGACGAATAAGAATCAGCACGACGAAAAGAGCAAACATTCAATTGGTTTCGAACCGACAATACATCTACTATCAACAATTATACGAATTACCGTTAGTTGCCGATAAATTTGCCGCTAACAGTGCCGTCCGATAAAGCGACAGCCAATCGCCAATATAATTACAAATCATCAGAATACGCGTGTACATTAGCCGCGGCGGGTGTATTCGAGAAATGATCAATTATACCAAGCGGCAGGATGCCCCGGCGATCTCCATTTATCGAAGGAACGGTGACCCGGTTCGCGGAATTAACCGATGAATCATGGATCTCTGTATCGACGCGTAACGAAAGCTGTTCCATTTTGCTAGAAGTAAATTATAACTTCCTTATTATAACCGGACTGCGGATTTTTATGTAAACCCCGCGTCTCTGCGGCGGAATGAAATTTAAATGGAGATTCGTTTGCACTCGGTGAACGTTGCAACAGGTATTCTAGATTAAATATGTAAATATTTTCTACGTTTTTTTTTCCTTTCTTTAATTTTATGTAGATTTCGTGTTTTTTTTTTTCGTTTTTTTTTTTTTGTTTCGTATAAATGCGCGAAAATCTAGGTGTAACTAATTTGTCACGAGATGTTTTTACTTTTACCAACCTGAAAATACACGCAGAAACATTCACAAATGTATCTTCAATTACCACACATCACCTACACCGCCAGAATATCCATAAAATATTTACAACAGAAATATTCAGGAATATATCCACACTTAACCACTCGGGGCTGGCAACTGATTGCGGACCATAACGAGTGACCAAACCACACATACAATAATTCGTCGCTTTCTTTTTGAACACGTCGGTACGATGTCGCTGGATAGAAAAATTATTGAGAAGTAAATAATAAATTTATTATTTGCCTCATCTCGGTTATACTTAAATATACTTAAAACTGAGAAAATATTGCGATTTTGGAACGAAAAAGCCACGTCATTCCAAGAGCGCAAGAGGTTAGAGGACAAGGTTTAATACCTAGGAAAAATTCCTATTCCCAACTACTGTACAACCGAATTAAATCTAATTGAACCGCATTCGTACGTGCAAACTATAACTAGCCTTAACTGAAATAAAACTAGCCGATGTCCAAAGGTTAAGACGAACGATAAACAAGCAACACGCGGCGAGCATTTTATGAAGGAAGCAACTCGCGTCGATCAGCCAACAACAAAGATCGATATCGTTATCGCAATTTCCTTTTCTTATCGCCGAGCTATTCCGGCACTATTCCCAGCACGGGGCAGACGGCGACAGGTCCATCTGCAGGGGATGGGGATGGCGCATGGTTCAATAACGTATGTTATTGAGAAGCCACTCGTGCGTTACCCTCCATTAAATGCGCATGAGGAACGTTCTTCGGGGCCTGGATCCGCGATGCGCCACGCATACCCTAGCACTCTTGAACTTTACGAGGAGATAACTCATAATTGAGTTGGCCTAATAATAGGTTATAGGCCCGGCCGGTTTCAATCGGTTCCATTGGGCGGCCGTGGATCGATTTCAACAACGTGAATTGAGCTCGCGTTTCGTAAAGCCTCGATATGATCACTCGCCGCGAATTACACCGCGTTTCGTTTCTCCTCGTTAATCCTGTTACGCTCTTTCACTTTATACGACGTTGCCTTTCAACGACAGTGAGAATACTCTTCGTTTCGAACGAGAGTACGACGACACGAAGGAGGTTTAATTGGCGTGCATAATGTCTCCTTTCGATATTTCGTGGTTGAAATTTCCTCAAAGCTTCACGTTTATTTGTCAAAGCTTCTTATTTAGAGTGAGATCGAAGTATGAAAATTTAAGGATCGTGAGCTGGCATAGTGAGTGTCCGCTGGTTGGTAGTTTCAGATGATTCATCGTGGAATCAAGAGATTACATTTCAACGATAGTAAATATTCTTTTCTTTCGAACGAGAATACGATTGACGTGATACCTTGTTTGGATATTTCGTGTTTGAAATTTTTTTAAAACTTTTCATTTATTTGTCAAAACCACTCTATTTATTCTTGTTTATTTGTTAGAATAACATCGAAGTAAGAAAATTAATAGTGTATGTAGTTAGGATAGCGAGTGTCCATTAGATCTCTAGTTGAGATGGATTCAGATGATTCATTGTAGATTAGAAGGGAAAGATTAAGTTGTAAAAGAATGATTTTCTGGTGTTGACAAGAATTATTGAGACTCGAGAGTTGTAAGAAGATTGTCGACTGCTGGAAGACCCAAGCTTTTAATAGAATGGCCGAGGAGGGATTGATTGTAACGTATCGATTTAGTATTCTTTCATTCACGTTATTATATTATATAATACGTATATTCCATCCTATGTCGTATTCTATATGTTACGTTCGATAATAGTCTATCTCTTTAATACTATATCGATTAAATATTAGCTTACCACGTAATGGTTTTGCTCTTTTACTTGAAATCCCTGAAGTAAACGTGCAGAAATAAGACTATCAGTTTATAAAATAAAATTTTATACGGGCAACGGATTTCTTTCTTTTTTAACTATTCAAAGTTGAATAAATTCTATTAAAATTTTCCTACAAACGCGACAGACATTACATTTGTCAATTCCGTGAAATTGTTATATATTTTCGGAAACTAGCTGGTCATGGTAATAACTGTGATAAAAATAAAATTTTCTCACGATGCTAATACAGATTTTACAGAAGAACTACATCT